CTGTCAACACACCTTCTCCATACACATCAGTCAATTTCTTTCTGGCTTGAACAGCATTTTTACCCTTTCTGTAGTAAAACAGTAAGATATGTCGAAAATGCTGCTTATCGCTCTCCATATTTAAAAGGGCACCAACCAAAAATTACTGTCGGGAAAAAACGAAATGGCTTTCCGAATAACCCGATAGAAACAACAGTCGCCAAAGTTGCAATCTGGGCGAGTTAAGGGAGTCCATCCTCTGCAGTATCTACAGTCGTTTTTTGTTGTACTATATAATTATAAAAGATTAGAATAAGTACTAGACTATAATCTTCAGTATAATAGATATGAAAAATGCAACGTACTTCAATAACTAGCGTGGAAAACGAAATCAACCGTTCACAAGTTACATTAGAACGTGTCCCCTTTGCCATTTCGAACAAAATTATCTAAAATGTTGGAAATATACTGAAAAATCCATCCTATGCGTCTCTTATACTCGTAAGCTCCAAATTTTCATTTAATCGTAAGGAGTGTAGTGCTATTTAGTAAAAATAATACATTAATTTAAATTCTTATTACGATTAAAAATACTGTAATCGGTTGTTTTAGAGTCTTGACATTTCCACTGTACAAATTATTTAAAATATAGCCTTAATGTAGTTACACAACATTACTAATAATGAAATAGTAAGGGTTTTCCAAGCCAATTACAGTAAATTAAATCATTTAGTTAATTAGTAATTTCCATTACGGTGAATAATTAAGTATGTGCGTAATTTTCGTTTCAACTTTTTAGTAGACATATATTAAATAAGTAATTTTTATAAAATATGTTTCAGCGGAGAGGTTTACCTGTCCCCTATCCACTAATCCATGGACCAAGTGCATATATCAACGCAGATGAGGTGAGTCATTTTGTTATCGTTTTCTTAAGATTTACTATAATACTAGGGTCAATTGAAAAGTCCCCGGCCTGACACATAGATGGCGGCACCAGAACTAAATCCATATGATTTTCAGTTAGTCCTAACCTTCAAAAGACGCGTCTATAAATTTGACGGCTGTCGGATCATTAGTTTGTGAATTATAGCATTTTTAGTGAAGCAACTTTTGTTATTGTGAAAAAAATGGATAAAAAGGAATTTCGCGTGTTGATAAAATATTGCTTTTTGAAGGGAAAAAATACAGTTGAAGCAAAAACTTGGCTTGATAACGAATTTCCGGACACTGCCCCAGGAAAATCAACCATCAAGGATTGGTATGCTAAGTTTAGACGTGGTGAAATGAGCACCGAAGACGGTGAACGCAGTGGACGCCCAAAAGAGGCTGTTACGGACGAAAACATTAAAAAAATCCACAAAATGATTTTGAATGACCGTAAATTGAAATTGAATGAAATAGCAGACACTCTACAGATATCAACGGAACGTATACATCACATCATTCACGAATATTTGGGTATGAGAAAGCTCTGTGCAAAGTGGGTGCCGCGCGAGCTCACTTTTGACCAAAAACAACGACGAGTTGATGATTCAGAGCAGTGTTTGAAGATGATCACGCGTAATAAACCCGAGTTTTTGCGTCGATATGTGACAATGGATGAAACATGGCTCCATCATTTCACTCCGAAGTCCAATCGACAGTCATCGGAGTGGACTGCACACGATGAACCCGCTCCAAAGCGTGCAAAAACGCAACAGTCGGCTGGCAAGGTTATGGCGTCTGTATTTTGGGATGCGCGTGGAATAATTTTCATTGACTACCTTGAAAAAGGAAGGACCATCAACAGCGACTATTACATAGCGTTATTGGACCGTTTGAAGGACGAAATCGCCGAGAAACGACCGCATTTGCAGAAAAAGAAAGTCCTGCTTCACCAAGACAATGCACCGTCTCACAAGTCAGTGAAAACGATGGCAAAAATTCATGAATTGGGCTTCGAATTGCTTCCGCATCCACCGTATTCTCCAGATCTGGCCCCCAGCGACTACTTCCTGTTCTCAGATCTCAAAAGAATGCTCGTTGGGAAAAAATTTTCGTCGAATGAAGAGGTGATCGCCGAAACTGAGGCCTATTTTGAAGCAAAGGACAAATCGTACTACAAAAATGGTATCGAAAAGTTGGAGGATCGCTATAATCAGTGTATCACCCTTGAAGGGAGTTATGTTGAATAAAAAAAATCGAATTTTGCAAAAAAAATGTGTTACTATTTTAGGCCGGGGACTTTTCAATTGACCTGTTATTTTATTGTTTTTTACGAAGTTTTATTTAACGTTAGGTTTCTAGTATATACGGTATGCTAATGAGAATACAGCTTTTCACGAAATAACGAACTATGCATACCTATACTTATCATGTGGCGCGTGTTCACTGATTGTATATGTCCTGCAAACTTCAAGAAAAAAAAATAATAAGCTTAAGGTATTAACGTTAAGCCACAATTACAGAGTTTTAGCTTCCCAAGAGCTTAATTGGTTTGTCCGTGAAATACAATAACAGTTACCTACTTGCTTTTAATATGTATCGTCAGCATGCCGTTATTCACAATAGGAAACATTTTAGTCGCATTTTCATTGAAATTAAACAATTGCATAATAAAACTATCGGAGCTGACCAGGGGCAAAAAAAAGTTTTATTAAATCAAAATCAACACCGATGTTTCGCCTCTAATGTAAGGCTTTTTCTGGCTGCAGTAAATAGTGACGGTGGTAAGAATGATACGAAATGTGCTTAATTTGTATGAACTTGTAGTACGCTTACAAACCGTCATGATGTGTGGTACATTAGTACCTCAAATAAATTAGTACCATCAGAACATATATGGTTAAATAAACAATAAATATTATAAATAAAATTAAAGCGTGTAAATTTAACACAATAAATAATTAAATAGTTAAGATAATTCTAAAAACCACACGTGGTATACTAGGACAAAACAGGACATAACACAATATCTATAAAAAACGTTAATTAAAAAAAAAACTTTTTTCTAAAAGTATGTAAATAGTATATATGCATTATCGAATTAATTTAGTTGGGTCATTGTCAAATTTTGCGCAGGTAAACGAGTCCCTCAACATTATTTATTTTTTTGTTATTAATAATGTCAAAATCCTTAACGAATTATATATTAAATACAAAATACATCGCTATAGCGAACATCCATTATTGGAATAAAGACTCAAGTTTCGATATTTTTCAATTTTTTTCAATTAACAAAATGGTCATTAGTGGTAACAGAAAGGTTTTCCTTACAAATTGTACCTGTCCCATGTAGCATTCCGTTACAATAAACATCATATAAATGCATTTTCTACTATAGTAACCCTCTTAATATAAATTATAATCGTAAACAGAGTATTATAAATATTCAATAAAATATGTTTTAAAATCAGTCAGTATTAAAATTTAGTTTTTAAATAATTTTCTAAACTTTGTCCCACGTACTATCTGGAACCGGCTGGTTCACTATGTTACTAACTAATTCACGACTCAAAATGAAGATGGCGCTGTTTTGGACACTGTTTTATTTTGGGCGAAATGTCTGCATTCGTCGTGGGAGTTCGTTAGGTTGGGGGGAGGGGTATGTCGCTCGACAGTCGACCGCAAGGTGTTGAACGTGCTGCGTGTTTAAATTGCCCGTCCACCTTGTTACCTACCTATTCACATAAGTAAATGAATATTTTTTCATTAGTTTACGTTCAGTTTATTGTCTGAGGGGTAAATGTGTTAAATGTGAACGAAATATTTTACTTTACGCTTTATTTTTTGACTTGTGTATAATGGAATGTAAAATTTACCACTCTGTTACTACGCAACTCTGTTACTAATTTATGATATTATACAGTATTATGTTCCAGTTAGCTGTTAATATATAGATATTTGGAGGACTTAAGTAGAATTTAAGGTATTTTAATATTCAATAAGTAACAGAGTTGTTTAAGAGTTTAGATTAATGATTGTTAAACTTAACAAAAGACTGTTATGATTCTAATTATATGTAAAAGATATAAGACTGTTTAATATGAATACCAAAATATTTGCTACTGACTTGTTTAATTTCATAATAAAAGGTAAAACTAATTGGTAACAAAGTTGTATTTTTTTTACACCCTGATCCATTAAATGTGGAATAAATCTTAAATTATTGGTTGAACATCGCGACCAGCTATAATAGATGATAATGCAGTTGTTTTAACGGACACGGACATAGAAAAAAGTAAAATCTAAACATATATTTTTTTCAAAAAAAATATGATATTAAGTTAAATTTACCTGCGCAAAATTTGACAATGACCCAGTTCAGATAGAGAAATGCTGGTTTTGCTTTAATAAATCCTTTTTGCCCCTGGTCAGCCACGATTATTTTATACAACGAAGAGGTAAAAATAGAGCATATTAAACAATTTTATACAAATAAAACAAAGCAAACGATAGCGGTCATTTATATAGAAGGGTTACATGGATCTGTTATTTTTTCCTCGTTCCAAAACCAGACGGAACAAATTGGTTTTTTCTTAATTTAAAAAACCTCAACAAATTTTTAAAGGCCCCACATGTTAAAATAGAAGTTTACAGAACATCCTTAATATTAACATAAAAATTGTTTTTTTCTAAAACTTGATTTAAAAGATGCTTATTTTTTAGTTCCTGTTCATCAGCAACACAGAAAATATTTTCTTTTCACTTTAACAACCACTATAACGAATTTAACTGTTTACTTTTTGGCCTGTCAATCACTCCATATGTTTTTACAAAAGTACTAAAACCAGTTTTGAAAATTTTAAGATCGTCTGGCATAATCTGTGGCATATTTAGACGACATCCTGATTATCATTAATAGCAAAAAATAGAGCGAAAGACAACTTTGTTTCATTTCATTGTAAATCTCCTCTCAGCTTTAGGTTTCCTTATTAATTACCAGAAAAGCCAATTATCGCCTGGAAATAAGTGTAAATATCTAGGGTTCATTTTCGATTCATCAAAAATGCTACTTTCTCTTCCTTTGGACAAGATTCAGGCCATTGTTTCGGACATGAATTCCTTGCAACAAAAACGTGAATGCAAAATTGTAACTCTGGCTAGTCTTAATGAACTAGTTGCGGTATATCCCGCCATAAACTACGGTCGGGTGTATCTAAAACACTTTTGGCTTTAGATAGATCTGCTCAAAATTATTCCTGCAGGCTGAGGCTTTCGAAACCTCCTTTCCCTTATTTGTCGTGGTGGTGCGTGACATTAACACTCAATCACAGAACAAATATCAGTTCTCCTCCCTTTTTCCTGACAGTATACGCTGACGCTTCAAAATCTGATTAGGGAGAGTCGTGCAATAAACAAACAACTGGAGCTTTCTGGAAGTTAATAGAAAAAAGCGTCATATAAACTGCATAGAATTAATGGCAGGTTTCAGTGCTTTACAATGTTTTTCAGAATGTAGAATTCTTCTTCGAATCGATAATACCACCACAATTGCTTGCATTAATTGCATGGGGAGCGTAAAACACCCCAAACATAACAAAAACACCAGATTAATTTGGCAGTAATGCTATAAAAACAAAATTTAGAATCAATTTCTAACTTTTTCGAGACCGAATATTCAGTAGCAAATTACGCTTTAAGATCATATGCTCAAAATTTGGCAATCCCTTTGTCGAATTATTCACTAACATGTTAAATTCAAATATATTTCGTAGAAGCCGGATTCAATTTCATTTGCAATAGATGCCTTTACTCTTTTATTGGCAGGAGAGTTTTTCTATGCGTTTCCACCTGTCTGCCTACTATCAAAATGTTTACGAAAAATAATTCTTGTCGTTCCCAGCTGGCCCACCCAGACATAATATTCATTATTTTGCAAACTTCTTGTCTCAAAACCCATACGCTCCAGACATAATAAAAATCT